CATGCAGGTTTAGAGAGTTACCATGGATACTAGGACTAAGCTCAGTGTAACATATTATCTTTAGAAAATGTTTCATTTCATCAGACCATGCCGAACCATATATGTACTGGGTTTTTATGCGTGATCAAAACACAAACTTACATCCACTATTCTCTGTGAATTCTCTGTGTCATTGGGTAAAAGGATTCTAATTGACAAAATGAACATACCGGTATATTTTCACTTTTCATCTAAGTTTTTTTTTCTTTCTTATTTATGGAATCTATTTATATGTAAACATTGATAATTGCTAAATTTCTAAAAGTTCCTTATACGTGCACGGAAACTACATCAAGTTTCATGCCTACATGCACAGATTAAAACAGCTAGAACAGCACAAACCATTGTGCATTTAAAGTACACCTTACATTCTGATTATCTACAACTGGCTTATAACTGGATCCTAATTCGTCCTCAATATTGATATTGATATTTTTGGGTCCGGGTGTGGAGCACTCCCACTCAAAATCCAGGTGAGTACCCCCACCACACCCTAAGAATCCTAAGCTGTGCTGATGTTACTCAGTTGTAAAGATTCACCATTATTGAAAAATTAAACAACTTTATTGAATTTCGTAATGAACACAACAATCGTCGCAAGAGGGCGGTGCACTCGAGTCCTCTTATTTTCGAAACTCCCAAATTAATGTCGTCAGGTAATTTAAAGCTCTTACGGTCGACTCGAATAATTACCTCACCGATTGTAGACAACTTTCAAGTCACGGATCATAGATAATGGGGCATGGATGGTTCCAATTATCGGAACTCGTTCAGATTGTTGTTGATTCAAGTTCAGGTTTGTCTTATTACATTCAAATAAATACCTGATAAAGGACATGATATTACGCTGCAACATCGTTCCTTAACACACATGGTGAATGCTTTCCACACAATATATCAAATCTAGCGGTGCTGTCGTGGCGAACGTGTAAAAGAGCCTCAAAAAATGCAGTCTCTTTCCAGCAAAAAGTTTCTTTTGTTTGTACCCTCGCACCTATTGGTGGCGACTGAAAAAACGAAATTAACTTCAAAGCTGCCCAAAGCTGGCGCTATATATCATTATTTTAGAGGAATACTTTTTCTGTAGAACTTTACACAGTTTTGTCATAGACTATACACAGTTTTGAGATGAAATTAAAATGTTTACATATTGACAAATGCATCTTTTTTCTAGCGTCTTTAATTTGAGTTATGTTGTGTTAGTTAAAATTGATAATAATAGTATTTATTAGACTTTGGAACGAAAAAAAACATAAAAAAACAAACAAAACAAAAACACACACTTATTGTGTATATCAAACGGAAATTATTACTCATTCTCTCATTTCTGGATTTCCATAGGCAGATAAAATTAAATTATGATTTCCCTTGATGTATATCTTTTTATTAGAAACACATTCATAATACGTATTTCTTCTGATAAAAAAAAAATCACTAGTAATAGTATTTGTCATATTTGGTAGGTTCATTGTTTCTCATTAGTTGTCTGGGATTGTACTTGTGATATTTCTTAGGACCATCCATTATTTCTTTGTATGTGGACTGATAAATATGATATATAGAAGATAATATTTGGTAATCGTAGTCCTAAATAACTATTAAAAATAGCTAAACTCTAACTATTTTACAAACTCTAACTCTAACTATTTCTAACTCTATTATTTCACGGCAAAACTTTATTACTTTGCGGCAAATCTATATTTTTCGCAAAAAACTATTACTTTACGGCAAAAGTCCACAATTTGACGGCAAAATACTATTACTCCCTTCACGGCAAAACACTATTTCTTCACTGCAAAACTCTATTATTTCACGATAAATAAATTAAATATATGTTGTCACTTGTGGGCCACCGTATGGTGAAGAGACTGTGCCGCAAATAAAACCTGAAACGGAACGCTGTTATTTGGCGATCTATCTAAGCAGACTACGTCCGGCGGAAGTGCTTCATGGGAGATGTTCAACTGCGCGTGCTCCATAACCTTTCACTTACACGTGTTGAGGAGAACATGTGTTTCGTTGTGAAATGCTTCACAATTCAGGAGTCATTATGGGCATTTGTTGGTAATTGGCAGTCGCTATTTCATGCTGATTCAAGAACTAAAAGAGTACGACATACCACATTCAACTGCTTTACGAAGAAATCATGGAAAACCTGACAATAAACATCGCGTCTGCGTTGGACAGAGTCACACAAACAGTAACGAGTGATACTCTCCGTTCAGCTTTGAACAGATATCAAGCAAAACAGGTAAATGTACAGCGTTGTTTGTGGGATTGGGTCTAGAGTGAACAAGAGTGACAGCTGTTTTTATCATTAAAACAAAAAATGGCTACTCAAAGCTGTCAGATTTGTCAAATTAATATCAAATTTGGTATGCTACTACTACAGTCACTCTACCTAGTAGCTGTCTGTATAATAGATCAAATAGAGGAAAATCTTTCCATTTTATCCCCACCACTACAGTTATCTAGGGCATCTAAAATAGATGTGGGGCGGGAAGGAATGGGAGTATAATGGAAA